GAAAGCCATGCCAGGTAGGTGGGAGAGGTGGGTCTAACTTAGATGAAGGCAGAGCAAAGACGCAGCTCTCCAGCACCTGGGCTGTGCTGGACTTGCGTTCATTTATGAGAAGAAATCTGTGCTCTTTCGGTTCAGCCTCTCCGTTGTTGGCATTATGAAATGCTCTTTTTGAAAAATTCCAGCCTTGGCCCAGCTGAACCAGAGAACGGGGTGCTTGTCCCTACTAGGGCTTGAGGAAGGAATGAGCATCAAGGGCTGATGGCAACAGCGTCGGTATCCTAAGAGAAGCTGGATGAACTCGGAGAGGTAAAGAGGTGAAGCCCAGTGTGAGGGAGAACAGGTGTAGCTAGGTACATTCATTCCTTCCAGTCTGCCGCTTGGGGGTTGCCATCACAGCCATAGAAGCTCGGGGCACTATAGGGATTCACAGCTAACATCAGTCCCTTGGGTCAGAGGACATCCGGGAACACTGTTGCTGGACAAGGAATTAGATTATAAGCAGAGTTTTTAGGAAAAGGTAGAATTTATTAATTTTTTAATTTAATTTTTTAATTTTTTAACAACTCTATGGAGATATCTTTGACATAAATAAATTGTATATGAATTAAAGTATACAACTTGATGTTTTTATACATATGTATACATTGTGAAAAGATCACCACACTGGAACTAACTTACCTGTCAGCTCTACATTGTTACCCTTTTGTGTGTATAATGAGTTTTAACTTAAGAAGTATCCTCTTAGAAACAAATAATACATTATATGATAATTTTTTAAGAAAAGAAGTATCCTTTTAGTGGGGCGCCTGGGTGGCTCAGTCGGTTGAGTATCTGACTCTTGATTTTGGCTCAGGTCATGATCTCAGGGTTGGGAGATGGAGCCCACGTCGGGTTCCATGCTTAGCACAGCGTCTGCTTGTCCCTCTCCCTCTGCTCCTCCCCCTGCTCTCTCTCTCTCTCCCTCTCTCTCTCAAATAAACAAATACATCTTTAAAAAAAAGAAAAAGAAATAGCCTCTTAGCGAATTTCAAGCACACAATATGGTACTATTGAGTATAGGCACCATGCTGTGCATAAGAATTCTAGTACATACTCATCCTGCATAACTAACTAAACCTTTGTACCCTTTGACCAACATCTCCCCATTTCCCACCCTCTAATCTCTGGCAGCCACCATTCTACTCTCCGTCTAGGAGTTCGACCTTCTTAGATAGCATATGCAGTATTTGTCTGGAAAAAGTAGAATTTAAATGGAGAAGACACACAGATGCCTTATAAATGTGGGCAGAGAAGGGGAGGGCAAATTTGCAGATGTGGCCATGGCGCCAAAAGTCCTGGGAATGGAAGGATCTGGTTGAAGAAAGCAAGTCTTTTGTGTAGGGGAAAGAGGCAGGTAAAGTTACATTAAAAGATGTGATACTGGGAAGAGGCCTTTCCCTTCATCCTGAAAACAGAAGGACCTGCATTCATTCATGCATGTTTGACTCTGTAGGACTGCATATCCCTTTGCCAGAATTACCTGCAGCCGTATTTGGTCTAACCAGTGACCTTGGTAGAATGTGAGTGTCAAGTTGGCATGAGACCGTGTTTGTTCGTTTTTGTTTTTCTGTCCTAGCCGTTTACTAGGTTTGTGACCTTGGGCAAGTCACTGAACCTCGCCATCTCATGATTTTTCCACTTGGAATCGGTAATCATAAAACGTTGCCCTGCTTCCTTTCGAGATGTTGGGAACAAAAAGTAAGATAATAAGTCTAAAGCAACCAAGTGGCATAGTGCCTGGCCCATGGTGAGCAGTTCAATACATTGTTTTTATTTCAGTACCCTCAATGCAGGGGGTTACTGCACTCCCCCTGCGTCTACATGGTACTTATTTCTTAAATTGTTATACTAGTGGAATCTTCACTATTTGTAGTAACTGCTCTGAGAAATGTAAATAATTGGAGATGATGATGATGATTATTATAATTTTTGTCCTAGTTAACTTTGGCCAGTTAACTTTGTCCTAGTTAACTTTGGCGTGCGTGGTCCAAATTTTAGATTATTAGTCTGGTTTGGGTCTTTCCTCTCTTTCTACTTCGATTTCTTTTTTCTTTTCCTTTCTTTTCTTTGTTTTTCTTTCTTTTTCTTTTTTGTCTTTCATCTCAGCTGGAATGTTGCCTCTAAATTGGCTTTCACTTTTGATTCTTTTTCCAATGTTCAGGTAAGGGAAGGAAAGTATTTTGCGAAGCAAAGCATTCATGAGGCATCCCAAGTATGTGTGACTTCGAAGGAGCAAAGGAATACAGCACCATATTTGTTTGAGCAGAAACTAGGTTCAGTGTTAGTAGTAAAATCATAGAGAACTCTATTATTTTGAACATAACTCTAGCCGGATTCTTCTTCTGGAAGCTTCAAAATTAGCAGGTCTCATCACAAGGTTCGAAAAGATATGAATCTGGATTATTCATGAGAGTTGCTGGGCTGCATCCCCATAAAAGACAATTGCAGAAAACAACAGGTTAATACAGCAAGTTAATAGATCCTTTTGATTCATTTATCCTTGCAGTTGACCCCCCCCCCCATATTTTCTACTTTGGGAACTTAGAGAAGAAATGGGCCCATGTACTTATTTCTTTGGGGGCACGATCTGGTCCTTCCTTAACGAGGAGAAACGGGTTTTGATGCAGCACCTAACTTAACATTTTAGACATTTGCTAATAAACTTGACTTCTGTTTTACTTCATTGCAATGCTAGTGTTGCCTACGGTCATGGCGCCCCAGGCTGTGGTCTTGCCGACTCGTTCAAGCTAGACAGGCTCAGGCTTGGGCAGCGCTTGGATGGACTCCCTCCAAAGACAACTCAGGTGCCGGAGACTTGGTGTGATTCAGCGTCTGGCACTCGCTCTAGCAGGGAGCAGCCAACCAGTGCCTCAACAAGGTGGTTATAGGGCCCTATGTTAATAGGTGTATGGAGTAGGAGTATGATGGTCGGGGTTTTTGTCTCCTCTTATATGAGACTTCAAACAGATTTCCCGACTGTTTATAGCCATTAAACTTATTTCAGCTGATTTTGCAAGAGGATCATAGATATCCCTTTTCTTTTTGTCTCATGAAAATTCTTAACCTTTACCTTCTTTGGCAGCAAGTATCCTCTATGTGGATACTTAAATAATAAAAATTATTCATAACTGCAAGTAAATATAGGGTTTTCTGACCCTTTCTGCCCCTAGGTTTCCTTTGGGGGTGGGACTTTTAGCAGAATGCCTCCTTCTGTTTAGGGCCTTCTGACATTTCTATGTCCGTGTCTCCTGTACTTGGGGCATGGGATTGTGTTTGAACCCTAAGGCACGAATGCTGGCAAATCATGGCATGGCACAAGAGCACAGTGACCCAGTTCTGTTCTCTTTCAACCCAGTTCTTAAAAAAAAAGAAGGAAGGAAGAAGGAAAGACAATACTGTCTGTCATCTCTTCTTCTAGGAAAACACACTCTTATTGATTGCCAGCATTAAAAAAACTCCCCAGCTCCCAACATACCCATGTCAGGTCTTTACCTTATTTGATACATTTATAAGTAGAGCCGAAGTGAAGAACTTAAGTATTAAGTGTCATAGCAGTGATAACCATCCGGTGTGTAGCGTGAAGAACAGAAAGTCATGTCAGTAAAGATTTGGGAAACCCAGCTTGAGTAGATGTAGGAGGTGGAGGTCCCAGTTGGTATAGGATGATAAAGAAATTGCAGTGGTCTAGGTGGCAGAGGGATGCTGTTTCCTGGCCTCTTCTCTCCCCACCCCCACACCCGTGGATGACACTGCCCATGGCCATACCTCCTTGTGCAGGTAGGACCGTGTCAGTAGGTATCTGTGACTTTTTCATTTCCTGTCCTTTTGGATTTCAACTCAAACATAATGTTCCAGTTCTGTAGACATGGGATTGTCTCTGCTCCAATTTTTCATCATGTCTATCTAGATATTGTCTCGTAAACTCATTTGCAAAGACTGTGGAACATTTTGAGATAATCCATCCCTATCTAAATATCAGCTATTATGGAATGCTCTCAGAGTATACAATACTTTCTCCAGCTGTTAGGACTCTCAGGATGGCTGAAGCAACATGGAATCTTTCCCTTCTAGGTCACTGATTCAAATCCACTATCCTAGCTGATCTAAGGCTTTGCTCTCTGCCCCACCTGCTCTGGGGTGGGGGGGATGTCGAGTCAAGTGAATCAACTACCGATGAATGTTCAGAGTCTATACCTTTATTTGGATTCTCATCAAATAGACCAAACAATGACTGGTGCAAAGAGACTGTTAAAGGCTCTCTGATGATTTTTTGATGGTTGTTGCCCCCATATATTAAAATTTTAATGGGGGAAGTGGTTTTTCTTTTTGTTTTTTACTTATGACGCTAGTAACATGACTTGATGATCTGCTTTCTTTTTGTATCTAATATTTACACAATCACTTAATCAGAATCTTTCCTTGGGCAAATCCCTCTATGAGATTAGCTTACTTTTCCATTTTCCTGTGATAACCAAGTGCTCCATTTGTAAATCACTTTTCCCACCTTTGGCATTCCTATTGGAGAACTTGCCTTGGAGTGCTGTTGATTCTGTGTGAATGCATCTACACATCTAGTCCTATCAGCCACTGTCCTTTTTTAAGTGACCCACAAATGTTCTGTCCATCCTGCCCTGGAGTGATTACTATGTCTAAAGGGAGGAGGTGATGGAGTTTCTCTGCATACGCAGTCCCAGGTCTGGCTACAGTGGGATCCTTAGATTGTGTTTAAATGATGAGCGCTCTTGTTAAGATGGTAGTTGCTGGCTTGCACCAAGATAGATTATTTTATGGGGGGAGAGAAGCTCTCTAGAGGTACTCTGAGGCGCATCAGGAGGTTGAGAAATAAAGAAGAGAACATGACTTCTTTCCTCCTAAGCTTCCCATGCTGCATTTTATTGCTAGCTTTTCCTCCCACCCCCATACGCACAGTGACTGTTGATTAGCCTGGGAAATTATCTGAGAAACAGGTTTGATCTTGAGGGGTGGGGAGAGTCTAGGAAAAGAAATTAGAGGAAGGGTGGCTGACTCAGAGCAGCCTTTGAAGCTGGAAGTGGGACAACTTGTCAGGGCAGACAGGAAATAACCGACTTTTCTCCACTGGCCAATAGTGCATGCTGTCTTCATTCTGATGGTGTTTGGGACCTCACACCCAATTGAGGAGATTCACTCTCAACTGGTGTAAATTATCTGTGAGAAAAAACACATATTCAGAGTTGGCAACTCGTTTTAAATAGTTTCAGAAGCACACGGATGTATTTTGTTTTCACGTCCCAGTTCTTTCTGGAAAATCAAATAGGACTTTGAGCTTTAAGAACAGTGCATTAGTAAGGTCCATGCACGTCAGCTACCTTCTAAGCTAATTTTGGGCAACTGATGGCAAGCTTTGTTTTTATAAAATTGTGTCCAGTGGGTATCTTCGGGGAATCTCAGAATACAGATAGCAACCCAAGGCATGGCTTGGCAAACTTTCCCTGTACAGGGCCAGATAGGAAATATTTTAGGCTCTGTGGACCATACGGTCTGTGTTGAAAGTACTTAACTCTGCTTTGTGATACAAAAGCAGCCATAGACAGTATGTAATGAAACAAACATGACTGCGTTCCAATAAAACTTTATTTGTGGATACTGAAAATCGAATTCCATATACTTTTCACATGTCACAAAATATTCTTCCTTTTATTATTTCCCCAACTATTTAAATACGTAAAAACCATTCTCATCTCATGGGCTGAACACTAACAGCTGATCAGGGGGATTTGGTCCATGGGCTATAGGTTGCTGACCCAGGACCTAAAACATGGGTGTTAGTCCTCTTTTTTGAGGACCTCCAAATATCAGTGCTTATCTCAGGCCTCATCACCGAGTGTTGTGTAAACTTGCATGAAGTTTTTCTCCTTCTGCCAGTTTGCTTTACGTATATGTGCATGCTTATTCAAATCATATTTTATATAAACTTATTGCTGTTTCTTAAAATATAGTAAACATGTTTTTGAACATTGGCTACCTTAATAAACATGCTAAACATGGGGATATCTAGCCCTTAATATAAACATCTGCTCTGAACTTCAGGTATAAATAGCTCAAAAGTTGTAAAGATGCTTATGTGAAGCATAATTTGTAAATATCAGATGGCACTTACTAAGATAGTGAGGGCCCTCGAGAGAATGACATAATTTTGAACCAGTAGAATCGAAGGTGTGTCAGAAATGCCCAGGCCCCAGTTAGCATAGGAGCATGGTCTGCCATGCTAGCAACGAAGCACCCACTCCCTGACTCTGAGCACTCCGAGCTGCTTGGGGCCCATGGAGCGTTGATCATAAGGCAACTTTGACCCCTTGTACCGACTGGGGCATAGATGGTAGCCAAGGCAGAGAGGGAGGCTCTGTCCACAGATGAAGACAGTATGTGCATGCCTTCCAGCCCTTTCCTCTGTTAGCTCATAGAGCCATTTATTTTATCCATTGAAGGAAAATAGATGTGAGTGTGTGCATCTGGGCTGCTTTAAGTGCCTGGTTTTATCGGTCACCCCCTTTCTATGACATCTTCAAACTACGTCTTTCTTGTAACCTGAGCCTAGCACTCAATACAGCACCAAGTTGCCGGTGCCAAGCAATTGTCACATCTTTTATAAAGGAAGTGTTGACTCAACCCAGCCCAGGAACCTCCATCAATAGTAAAAGGTCTCCAGAGATGGGATGGGGCCTTTTAAGTTATTTACTTAGCAGTTGGTCTGGAACTTGAGTCAGAGTTGATCCTTGCTTCTTAAAAGAGAAATTCTTTCACTTATTCATAGTCTTTTTCTTTCTCTCCCCACCCCTCACTAACCCTCTTTTCTTCTCTCTCATACACACACAAACATATATCTATGCATCTTTTTATTCTGTATCCAAAGGATCTCATTTATCTTCAAATAGGATAACATAACTTCTCTCCATATGGGATTGAGACATGGTTATAAAAATAAGAAAAGTCTAGGGGCGCCTGGGTGGCTCAGACGGTTTAGGTCTGCCTTCGACTCAGGTCATGATCCCAGGGATCGAGTCCCACATCAGGCTCCCTGCAGAAGCAGGGAACCTGCTTCTCCCTCTGCCTCTGCCTCTCTCTCTCTCTCTCTCTCATGAAGAAATAAATAAAATCTTAAAAAAAAAATAAGAAAAGTCCATCCTCACTCTTCAGTTGTATTGGAACATATCTCTGAGGCTGGCTATCAAGTAAGCATGTATGGGTAACTAGTGTTTTCTGGTGCAGTTTCCAAAGGGGATCCCATCAGTCATTCCAAATTTTCCACTGACCAACAATGAACAGGACAATAAACATTTTTGACTTTCTACAAGCAGTAATACCAGAGATTCATATTATAAGTTATGTAATCCAGCTCATATTATAATGATAATGCTCAAAGTGTAGTCTTGTACACTAAGGATTTATTTCTCTTCTTTTTTATGACAATTTAAAATCTAGATCCAGTGATTTACATACACTGGAAATCGGAAAAGCAAATGCCCTTTGGTGGTTGATTTCACAGCACTTTATAAGTTCTAATAAATTGTCTTTTAATATGCTTGTTGAGACCTCAGTTGGTTTGGGGGTGGGGGAGGATAGGTTTAATACTTTGCTCCAGCTTTGTTCCCATAATCAGGATAAGGCCAGGGCATTATTGTGGCACAATCCATAACAATTCAGATCAAGGTGAATAATTTATACTAGTATTGCCTCTCCATTCCAGATATTTGAAGTTATTTTGCATATTTGCATTCATTTTGAGAAGAAAATTTGGAAGCCAGCTTGCACATATGTCCATCTTGTATTCTCCTTTGGTAGTTTGACTGAATTATCACTTGTGTTCCTACAAGTTCCTAAGCCTTTTCTCCTTGTGCTGCTGTCTTTGAGTACCGTCTTTAGCAGGGCTCAGTATGAAATGCTGTAAGGTAGCTGGAGTTCATTACGTGATTATTTAAGTTCATGTGCTCCACATTGGGTCTAAAAAAAGATGTTGTACACCTAAATGACTTTTTTTTCCCTTAAAACCAGTAAAATAATTGCAAGGATTTCACTAGCCAATTTTGAAATGTATAGAGCCAGCTCAATAACCATTCATTGAAAACTTAGGTTTGAGTCCTATACTTTCTTTTGCTCAAGTACACTTATGAGAACATAAGAATAGTTTTGTGGTGTGTGTGTGTGTGTGTGTGTTTTAAAAAGACACTAAATACCATCCCTTTTGCCAAAATGAGGAGTTCACTGTACAGATTCTCTGAGACTTGGTTATTTAAAAACTGAATACCTCTTTTCCAAATACTTGGTGAAACATGGTAAATAATTTTAACAAAGATTTGTGACTATGGAGTTTGCGTCATTTTGCTTTGCTTTGCTTGCTCTTAGTCTCAAATGTCCCTAACCTTTCTCCTCTTCCCCACCATGTCTTCCTCTGCACTCTTTTCCTTGTCCTCTACAGTTCCTCTGCCTGCCTTTCCAGGTAACAGCCAGACCCTTCTTTGCTGATCCGTTCATTACTCGGGAAACTCTGAAGCAAGCACTTAGACTATGTAGCAGTCCCCTTTTCTACATTAAAAAGCTGTAAGACTACCTCATGTGAAATAGTTAAGAGAACATATATAGTAGGAGGAGAGGCTTTTGCTCCTGCAGGCACCTTGCAAAGGGGACTATTTTTCTTATATGATATAAATGAAATCCTCACTCTGCCCACTTTTACACCTACGCATGTACTGAGCGTCTCCAAGGAGACAAGGAAACCCGGAGTCCAGTGATGGTGAATCCTTCTCAGAGACAGCAGGCTGGAGTCTCGGGCAACTCTCCCAGGCGTCTTGGCTTCCAGATGCCCCTCTCAGACAGCCTCTCTTCTGAAGGCACTTCCAGGCAGGCTTTCTCGAACATGTCTTTCCCTTCACAGACGAAATAGCTTGTACATTACATCTGAAGGGTTGGTGGTGGTGAGTTCAGTAGGCAGAAGGCCTCCCTGGGACAAGGGGGTGGGTGTCCTATGGAGGTGGGACGGGAAGTTTCCATCTTTCCCAAGATCTTTCCTTTGTCACCCATTTATCTGTGCATCTGTTTCATTGCCTCCCTTTGTGCCTTTTAGACACAAAGGCACCGCTGAACCTTACAAAATGTCTAAAAAATACTCTTTGTTACAGTAGTACAGTTATGAGCTCAGTTTAGTGAAGTTGTCCTTTTAGAAGTACTACTCTTGCTGACTCGGCGTTTCTAGGCGTCTGTTCATGAACGATCCATCTTCTTGACCACTCTCTTTTCCCTTCCTCCTGAGTTCAGTGCACAGGGCCCTCCAGGACATCCTATCTTTCCCTCATTCCATGGTGTCACTGTAACATTTTTTGGAACTATGTACATTATTTTCTTATACAAATGAAGTCTTTGCCTCTCTTTGAGAAACACACTACCATCCTAAGTCCATTATGCACACTTTCAAAGACTTCTAGTATCAGATCCTTTTGCTGCGCTGACCACATCTACCGGTACATCTTGTTTTAGGCACAAATAATTAGTTACTATGTAGAAATTATTATTGATGTAATCCCCAAGAAATCCCATTCTGTTTCTAAACTCTAAGCACATCATTTAATGAACATTCTTGACCTGTCTTGCACATGAACATTCTTGGTTCTCAGCCAAATTAACTCGAATAGCCTAACTTCTGGTGTGATTTTCTAGCACATTGTCTGCAAACTTCAGTCTTCTGTTGCTGATCCTGCTGCCCTCTTTGGAAAGGTGTGGCTATTATTTTTGACAGTAAATGTTCTCATGAGGGTTTCTTGATGACACTTTTTTTTTTTTCTTTTTTTACTTGAGCTTTTAAAAAAAGATTGGTCAGTCTGTATTTTGCACTTGGGAGGACTCTCCTATTTACCTTTTGCTTTATCCCCAGTTCATATTACTGCTTTTTAAATAAAAACCACCAATGTTACGAGCTTAAAAGAGTTGTTTTGTATTAGGCATCATCAGTTTTGTTCACAGGCACAGACTGTACCTTTTGAATTGACCTAGAGGTCACATTTGCTCCTTTTTTTTTTCTTACACAGTCTCTTCAGGTCACCCTCAGTATATCTTACCTTATTTGATCTTCCTTCTCACATACCTTTATTCATAGTGTGTTTCACCATTTAGCTTCTCCTCTTTTTTGGACTCAGAAGAGGTCAAAGTCTTAACTTTTGACTTGAGCTCTCAAGTTCCCCCAAGAAATATTGGAGGATGAAGGTCCCTCCAAAAAGAGCCCCATTGTTGTCTCCTAAATTTGTGTCTTTTGTCCAGGTCCTTCCTCGCTGCTCTGCCTTCCTTCCTCAGGGTCCCAGTCATTCATGGTCCAACTTATGTCACATTGATGGCAGGAATAAAGCATCTGCTTGGGTGGATTGTGATGCCTAAGGAGTTGGCTACGACATTGACTCCATCTAAGAAAACGTAAACCAAATGTGGAAAGTTTCCCAACTTAGACTGGTGGGAAGTTTTGTTGGCTGTTTCATTTGCCTGGAAATGTGAAAGTCAGGATCCCATCCTAAATTGTACTTCCTGGAATCCTTTATGTGAAGGAAGCCCCGAACATGGGTACTCACACAAATGTGTTTCTTCCATTTTTCCTTCCAGGCACTTCAAGTGGCCAGACAGCTTCTCCTTCAGCAGCAACAACAGCAGCAAGTTAGTGGATTAAAATCTCCCAAGAGGAATGACAAACAACCAGCCCTTCAGGTGATAATTCTTTTTTGAAAAAAACTGACATTATACACTATAAGCCATTGAGAAGTGGATTGTGTTGGGAGTTGCAAATCACATACGAAAATCTTCTGCAGAAGGTGCATTTTTTAGTTTACCAGCAGAGGATGACATTTTGGAAAAAATGTCTATTCAACCAAGAGTGTGTTTGTTAGGAAGAAAATCTGCTAATGAGTTGATGTAATAGGATGAGTAGTTGCAGGTGTGGGTTGCTTAATAGGCACCATGTAGCACCAAGGAGAAAAAGTTCCTGGTACTCAAGATAGGTCACCTCATTCTCTCATGATGGGGCTGGAAATGCAATACCCACACACATAACTTTAGTGCAGTGGTTTTCAACTAGGGGTGATTTTACCCTCCCCCTACCCCCCCCCCCACCAAGGGACAAAGGGCAATGTCTAGAGACAATTTTTGGTTATCCCAGGGGGGGCATGGGTGCTCCTGACAACTAAATAGTAGAGGTCAGGGATACTACTTGACTGGTCCTACACTGCGCAGGAAGATCCCCCACAGCACAGAACCATTCGTCCCAAAGTGTCAATTGTATCAAGAACTTAGGAGGACTGAGGAAGATACAGTACTTTTACTATACCTAGTCATCAATATAATACATACTTTGTTCTTTAGTGAATGTTTTCAGAATATTTCTGGATCATTAATGAAAAATGGCAGGAAATTTTTATGTTAAGATATCAAAAAAGACTGTTTTAGCAACTTCTGATTTCAGCCCTATTGGGGGCAGGGGCTAACAGAGTAGAAAAAGGGGTTCATAAAAATCTAATTTGGATTTTTGACTTGGAGTAGAAAATTGTAATAGAAAATTCAAGGAAACTTGATGGAGGGTGTTCGTGCTCACATCTGAGACAGGGCACTTGCAGGTACTACGTGATTCAACTGCTTCCATAGCTCAGAGTGGGCATCCTCAAAACAGGAAGTGAAGATGAGTTTCTCATACTGGACATTTGGGGACAGAACTTGTAAATGGTAGCTGTTGGGTAATACTTGGCACCAGTGACTTTGACCATGAGGTCAACCCAAATTCCAGCTTGTGTTGACTTTTCTCAGATCAGAGTGAACCCACATCAGTTCCCAAATTATCCTGCAAAGATCTAACTGATGTTTGGGGAACAAGTCCTAGTTCTTCTACATCTCCTTGGGAAGCCGTCACTGTCTAGGGCAAGTTTGGCACTAAAGTAACACTTGATGGGAACAGTTGGATGACCATGTGCATTGTTGACCAATACTTCCAAAACCAGTTATTTGGTAAACCATCATCACCAATCCATAGGCCTTTTCATGTGTGTAAATGCTGGGGACATTTTTAATGAGGTACAGTGCCATTGAGGTCCCATGTCAGGTGCTATAAGAAGTGCTTTGTTGTGCAGATGTCTTAAGAACAGCTCTGGAGATGAAATATGACTGGGTTGACCTTTCAGCTGTGAGCTTATTTGTCAGGATTCAAATAAGTTGAAAGGATCAAACTGAACAGTTTCCGTAGTCAGACTGGGAATTGTGTTTCAGAGGTCAGCTGCAGAGGCCGCATTGCAGATTCCAGAACATAGCCAATTGTTGGTACATATTAAAGTGCTGGGGCATCTCCTGCAGACAGAGACACAATTAAAATTCTAATTTATTAATGTATACAGGGAACTAGCCCAGCCTGTCACTCAGTGATTCAAATGACTGTCCATTCTTTTTGCCTCCCTCTTGGAGTTCTTAACAGCCTTAAAAATACTGTGAGTCCTCTTGAATTTATCAGACCTCAAGTGCATTGGAAAAATGACAATATATTATTGGGGGGAGGTGGGAATCTTACACGTAGTAGAGCTTTGGTTAGGGATAATTTTAAAAAGTACACACATACACAATCTGTCTGATGCACGGCTCTTCAGTATTGAATATCATATGTAATTTTTTTATACTAGACTTATATTCCCTCATACTTGCTTTTTAAAGACATATGGCATTTTTAGGTAACTTCTTTTCCAAGATGAACGAAGTTGCTTTAGGGCTAAATATATGAAGTAAAGTTTCAGGGGATTTCCTTTGGAGGGCTCTTTTTCTTGCCCGTTATAAGGTTTTTAGCCACCAGAAGAGTATGATACAGAGAGCTTCATTTTTCTTGGCAAAGACAGTGTCAAAACCAACCTAACACATTCTGCTGAGCACTTCAGTCTGTATAAAAAGTGCGGGGCGAGGGGGCCATCTTGAATGCTGGTTTTGCTAAATAAGATGTTTTGAGTCCCTTCCTACCCCTCCGTGGGAGAGTTGACAAGCATAGAATTTAGACCAGCTTTAAGAGCTGATTGGGGGGGGGGGCGGGGGATAAAGAATTGGTTGACTGGTTGTATGTGTGCGCGTGCGTCATGTGCATCATAGACTGCGTCTTGTCAGCTGCCTGGTAGGGTCATGCAGATTCACCAGGCTTTATTAGGTTGGCTGGCCTTCCACAAACAGAGAGAAGAAATTACTAGCCTAGGTCACATGGTATACTACCTCCTTCTCAAAATACGTATGGAGACTCGGTGATTCACAGAAGGAATAACCTTCACATTTAAAGAGATCTCGCCCATTCCCTGTCCTCGCTGGGGCATCTCAGCCAGTGTGGCTCTGAAATGAAAGGGAACTCCTATCACAAACCTTAACAGTGTTCATTTCTGTTCTTCTTACCCTTCATAACTACACTGAGAGACCTATTTTAGCAAATTTCAGATATTCCGCATAGAGGAAGGCTTGACAGGGAAGAAGAATATGATCTGCTGATTGCTTGAGGGAAAAAAAAAAAAAGAAAGAAAGAAACCCAAATCCTCAAATATACTGTGACTTATATTTTAGGCATATCTCACACTTCCCTGCTTTATGTTTGGCAGCGTTCTCCAGTTTCACAGGCTGATGATAACAAACAAAAGAGAATGGAAAGTTAGAGGAGGCTCTAAGTGGTTACTCGATAGAGATCACAAAATGTAGTCAAACATCAGCAATTTGGACTAATTTCAGGAAGATGAGAGTAAATAAGAGAGGGGAATGCTCTCTCCAGATACACACGCAGAACTCAATCTGAGCTGGCCCCATTCTTGGGCGACGTGTGGTTTACATAATGCGGGCATTAATCGGGTATAGATATTGCTTTTGAAGTTCTTAAAAAACATTCTACTTAGTAACCTAAATCGCCCCTTATTTAGTGTCTGGAGTTGTCTTGCAAATTTTTTATGAATGATGCAAATGAAAACTGAAAATTAGCCCCATTGTAAATTCAGAATCAGGAGGATCTGAATTTATTAAATGCAACTCGGTGAGCATTTCTGGATCAGCCTCAACGCACAGGGCATCCTGCTGTTTATCCACATGAAATTGCCAAGGGTACAGACCCTGCCTTCAGGAGGCTTATGAGTTGTAAAAGAATTAACAAGGTTTTGCTGCAGAAAAAGAAAATTATATGTGGGTAAAAATAGTAGGCTTGCTTTTATAAATATTTATATGCTTCTGAAGATTGCTTAAACAAGTGAAATAAATGCTTAACGGTGCAGGTGTGCTCATAACCTCGAAAATGTGTAACTTTACTGGCTGAAGATTAATTTGTGAGTAGATGAGCAATTTTATTGATCGAATTTTGGAACTTTGACCACCGTTTCTGGGTAGTAATTCATTTTGGTTCTTTAAGCATTTTAGTTGTTGGCACGAGTACATAAACTGGAAGGAAATCAAATGACACATTTTCTCCTAAGAAAGTAAAAGTACATGTGTATTCTGGCAGCATGAAAGTTAGGAAAGAAAGTAAACCTTGTGTGTTGCTTACAGTGGAAAGCTGACCACAGTTTCAGGCCGTCTATAAAGAATTTGAACTTGAAACCAGTCATCGGAGATTTTCCCCTTCTGCCTATCCTCCCCCTTCCAAGGTTACATCATGTGGGAGCCCCTCATCCAGGAGGCCATTTCACTGGAAGGAAGGGTAGTGAAATCCACTGGAAGTGTGGCCGTGTCGTCCAGTTGGAAGCTCGGGATTATAATAAGGACTCCTGCTTGAAGCGGAGAAGGTTAAAGTACAAGGTCCAGCAGGTGTTTTTTTTAGCATTTTTATTTGCAGTTATATAAAACGTGCTTTAGGCAGCATTTTTGCTTTGCATTAATGCCACATATAATCTTAGTACCTCATATCATTTCCACGTTATTCACTAAGCAATAAATTGGTAAGAGGAAACCTTTAAAGGAAACTACAATTTTATGTTGTAGATAGTGAAATGGAATGGTTTTGAAATACTGACCCTTAAACAATATCCCTATGCACGGAATTAGTAAAGTGGATAATTCAGGAGAAGGAGGCAGATTTTTTTTTCTTTTCTTAAATGTCTGGAGTTAGCATTGTCTAGAATTGGCATCCCTGACCTTAGATTGATATGAAGTGTCAAAATTTTGGTACCTTTTAAGATGTCATTGTTACCACATGACTTTGAAGAGTCCCAAAACCCTAGAAAATAAATCTTGATAAGAAACAATAAAATAGAAATCATGCTTTAAAAATGGCTATTAAGTCCTACAGATTACACACACCGTTAAAAGTATGATAGAAACAGTGACCCCGGCCTCTCAGAAAAAAACGCATCCACACACAGAATTTTGTATCCAGTTTTAAGGGTTTCCTGAACCTCAAGAAATCCATCCTGTGACCCAGGTCAAATACTCTTGCTTTCAGATTTTTTTTTTTTTCTAAAATACTATGTTCTGTCCTTGCCTCCAGATTTCTGATCTGAGCTGTAATGTAATGAATTAGCTCATTTTTGCTATTTCAGCTTCAGCAGTATATAGGATGAGCCGGTGTCCCAGTCCTTTCAGGATATCCCTGGTCCTATGGCTGGTGCCGGAGCGTATTTATTGACCTTTCTCACTCTTTTAAAGCATCCCAGTTTGGACATTTAATTATATGGTCATGTTACCAACATGCACCTAAGTATTAAAATTCCAGTGTGATGCTCTTATTT